TGTTTGTGTACAGGTAGAGGCCTTGTGACGAGCTGATCACCCGCCCAAGAAGTCCTACCGAATGTGTAAGATCTAGAAAAACCGAAGTGAACGGAGAAGTTCATGGAGACAGGCCTAGGTCCACTGGGGCTGTAGTGCCAAGGAAAAAAAAAGTCAATAATCCCCTTTAAAGGTAAAAAGGTAAAATTTTGCCTGTACTTAACTAATTAAGCACTACACCATGAAGGCATAGGGGAGGGAGTGGATGTATAGATCCACATTTTCTTGACCTCTGCACTAGCTGGAGGTGAGTGGTCAACTTCATGCCCCGGCCGTTTGCCCTTGGGGAAAGAGCCCCCCAGTACCCATGAATGAATGAATGTATATNTAAATAAGATATGGCATCAGAATCACATATGTGTAGTTGATTCATCTTCTAGGCACCTTTCACAAGTGAGGCTATCTGTCAATCCCAGTTTGAAAAGGTGTCCTTTTAGGTGACAGTGCCCTCTAAATAGTCCTACCACCCATCTTAATTGGTCTTTGTATAACTTCATTCTTCTGGCAGAGGGCCTGGTCTAAGTCCATTTGCGTGTTTTGAGTCCAGTTGTGGATTCTTAATGTTTTTATGATTTCTGTTTGTCCAGTCCGAGACTGCTTTCTTGGCAACTGCAGTTGAGATGCTGCAAGCTGGTTTGGGTCCTATGAACAGATGTTCTGGTCCTATTCATGCCAGCTGATCTGCCATTTCATTATCCAACAATACCCTCATGACCTGGCACCCATATCAGTTGAACTCTCTTATGTTTGGCCAGTTGTATGAGGGATTGGTGGCAGTCCCAGACAAGTTTTGAGGTGATCTGGTGTTTACCAAGTGCTTTAATTACAGCTTGACTGCCTGATAGAATATAGGTGTTCCTATTTTTATAGTTTCAATATAGATTCTCAACTGCACATGCCTTAATGGCATACACTTCTCTGTGGAATACCATTGTATACCACCCAAGGCTAAAGCTAAGTTTCCACCTTGATCCATGGCAATACACCCCAGCTCCAGTGCCTTTTTTTTTTTGTTGTTGTCTTGGAACCATCTGTATACTAGATTAGTCCCCCCTTTCTTTTGGGTTGAAACCCCTTTTTCCATTCACTTCTATCAGGGAATCTTATTGTGAAGGGTTTATTGTAGACATGTCGCAGTATCATTTTATCAGACCACATCTGTAGGATGGGTTCTTTTTCCATGTCCTGGATCATTTATGCATGCCCAAAACCTTGAGATTTTGGTTTCCATTGTTTGTTGCAATGTAGTCTGTAATTTCCTACCTGGGCCTCTGCTTCC